AAAAATGAAATACAGGATGGTCCACAAGTCACCCGACACTCTTGTATTGCGAATAACTTTTGATAGGAACATGTTATAGACCTGCGGTTTTCACCATTTGAAAGAGCGATGTTAGAACATCGATCCATATAATATTCACTAGGACGAAAGATGCTTTTACATAGGAGCTTTTCAATTGAAATTCTTTTTTTTTGTGCATTTTCAGAAATTTTCATATTAATCTTGCCTCAAATTACACCAAAATATAGCTCAAATCACCCATTTTTCGCTATAAAATTCTCAATATTTTCCAAAAGTGCATTTGAAAAAATAGGTCGACGGAATAAAGCATAAAATGATACTTTTATACCGAAAAATGGGTGATTTGAGCTATATTTAGGTGTAATTTGCGGCAAGATTAATGTGAAAATTTCTGAAAATGCACAAAAAAAAGAACTTCAATTGAAAAACTCCTATGTAAAAGCATCTTTCGTCCTAGTGAATATTATATGGATCGATGGTCTAAACATCGCTCCTTCAAAAGGTGAAAACCCCAGGTCTTTCCTATTAAAAGTTATTCGCAATACAAAAGTGTCGAGTGACTTATGGACCAGTCTGTACATTTTATGTTTTATTTAAATTAATTATTGCTCATTCCATCTAATTATTGCACATTCAGTATAAGTATCGCTCATTCAAAATATTTATTGGTAAATTTGATTATTGCTCAATTAAATATAAGTCTTTGTATACTATAAATCGATAATAATGTCTTTCTTGGTCTAACCTTCATTGATTTCAATATTATAAATAAAAATAAGTAAGTTTTCTGATTTTGTTTCACGAAGAGAACTTTCTAAAATTTTATCTTATCTTTCAAAACCTATGGGACAAATAGTCCGTGTCTTTCAATTACGCATTACTTCTTTATTTTTCTCCACTAAATGTTTCTTGATAATCTCACGTCTTTTCTTTTGTTTGCATAGTACCAAGAAGAGTGTATATACAGTATGATGTGTTTTTCTAATGTTAAAACATCGGTAACTTTATTTCAAAATATTTTTATCTTCGTTAGGCTCTTCAATATTCTCTATTTTCGTATGAAATTTCTGTAGGTCACTATAATTAAATATTTGAGATTATCTTATCTCGCCATTTTATCTTTGAATGGCACTACTTATGTAACAGTCCTTCTGAATGGAATGTTTGAATAACATGCGCATCACTATTTAAGGCAACAAATTCATCAATTGTAGATGAAATTATTTTCTCTGCCAAATGTTTTACTCAATAAACTTATTTGATTACATGCAGTTATAAGTTTTATTAGTACAAAATAACCGACTCTTTCAACATTTTTTCAATCTATTTTTTCTCATTAAAAAAAAAAACGAGTCGATACAGTACGTTAATTTTTTAGATTTTCTGATGAGTCTGATGTCGATTTCCTATTTTTTGGTTAATAACTAATAGAAAATATGTATCGTTACCGGTTTTATACACATTTTGTATTACTTGTTTTTCGTGATCACTTTGAATTTTCAAACTTTTATATGATGTATTGATCAAACAGGATTATTTTCTTTTGTATCTAAATTTGAATTTGAATCAATTCGAAAATCACAAGGATCTTTTGTTCACTATAAATACAAGAAAATAACATTGATATAACATAATTGTTCATAATTACCTTTGTATTTCAAGAATAAGTTTGATTAGGAGCAATATCAATTACATCATTTACTTTACATAATGTTTTCTGTATTGATGATACACCATTAATTGATAAAAATGCATCGCCTATTGTAAGATCAGATAATACTGTCTTACCTCTATTATGAACCTATTATATACATCGAAATTAAAATAAATGACAAGAGACTTGTTGATATTTTTATAAAACAAGAAAAATGTACCTTAGAAATATTAACAAGTGTGTAAATGCCGTCTGAAAGTTGAAAATTCCAGGGAGTACTACTTTGTAAAACAGCAGTTTTTTCGATCACCTAACATATTTTCTATACTATTCTCTGATTCAAACAAACAACAAAGGTTGTCATACGTTCATTGTTCGTTTTCAGATGAATGTGAACAATGTATGCTGTTCTGACAGTTGAAACGCGTTCTTCTATCAAATGACGCGAACAAATATGATAAATGTACCAGAAAACAAGAGAAGATACAAGAAAATCAGGGAATATCTTAGACTGTCAATAGTAAGTAGTCGGTCAAAAAAAAAACACTGCTCAATTAGAACATATTACTGTTTCTTCTTGAGATATATGTAATGCAGTAGAAGAAACGAGAGAAAAACTTCTCTTATCCATAGTGTGATCTATTTATATATATATATATCGATTATTGGGAAATATAAACTAACTTTTTCTTTTTGTTTATTCTACCATGGATATAAGCGATAGTCTAAATGATATTTATATGTATCTATAGAAAAAGATTGTTGATTATTATATCTTATAATAATGATAAGAAATAGGAAAAAACTAGAAAAGATATCTTAACAATAAAAATCACACTTTTTTCTTATTTTTCTGTCCTAACTTAATTTTGTTGTCTGCTTTATTTTTCATCGTATCGTCGTTTTCCATATAAATATATACTCTAATGATTGAATGAGGACAACTGAAGAAAAGAAGCATCCATTTAGGATTATCTTAAATCAGTCTCCCGTTCGATTATACGACAAAGATAATATTGTTCTTTTGTTCTTGCAAACAATCAAATGTATATTAAAAATACACAGAAGAACTTCTTCTTCTTCGTCTTCTGCGTAAAAAAAAGAACAGATGTATCAATTAGCAAAAAAAAAACCTCTATAAGATTCTATTAAGCATTTATAATGTAATACAAAGAGAAAAAAATATATCATTTTTTTGTATTTGCCAGTTATCAATTATCGTTTCATAGTTCTTTCTACTCTTCATTAATCTCAGATTGGTATAATAACTAATAGATTAATGGAGTTGAACCAAATGTTTGTATATCAATAATAAAGTAAAAATAAGTTATTGCGTTCTATGTCAATTACACAAACCTAATATATTGGATAAAGAATATCTTATAAGCTCTGAGTCTTAACAAAAATTAGTTTATTTGCAGACAGAGAAATGATCCTTAACTGTAGCTATGTCATAAAGTTTGAAACTTTGCTTTTTGTATTTATTGTTGAGAGAACATTTTTTGATTTTTGTTTGATATTCCCCTAACAATTAGTTTAGTGTCAAAAAATCAATCTGTTAATTTCAAGGTTCAGTTTTAAGTAGTTTAGAATCAATTCACAAGAAATGTTATCAAATTTATTGACTTGTTTTCTCTATAAATCCTTATCAACGAATTCATTCCTAATATATTCTACAACATAATGTAGACAGTGTCTTTCAATTTTTTCATTGAATACGGATAATAAGAAATTTTGAAATGTTTTATACTCAACAATAATAATTTGATCTGTACCAGTTTTTTATCTTGATTTGAAATTCTGACTAACTTTTTTAGAGTTTTGAAACTTTATATCAAACATTATTTATCAAGATCTTAGAAAATATTTTGAACTTTTAGTTTATCTAAAGCAGAGCTTTATAATATTTCAATAGCCTTAAACAGTTTCTTTTGAACTTGTAAAAGGCGAATTCCATTCTTAAATAATGTCTAGAGTCCGCGTTAAGTATTATTGCAATTTTCAAGAAAATTGTTCTTTTTTTTTCAATGTCGCTTTATTTTCTAAGTCATCTATAAAGTTTCTTAGCTCAACTAACGAAGTGAGACTCTTTTTTCATTTCGTTAGTTATATTATATCAAAAAATGTATCCATCGGACAATAGTATGCTTTTTGAAATATTATTTATTGTAGAGATCATACTTCTAAACAAGTATTTTTTTTTTAATTTCAATGACAAAGTCAAAGTAAATATTTCAACACAACTTTATCTCTCTCTCAACTTATTGGTTTGACTATAAAAGTCTACTGTACAGTATTTTTCGAATCAAGTACGTATCTTCGTTATTCAATCTATTTTTTTTAATCCAATTCATAAAAATTGTTCATATTGAACAGAACTTTGCCCTGTTGTGAGAAGAATTTCATCATTTTTTTTTCAATTAGCTATTCGACTTCTTACAATATTTTATCGATTTGATTCAGTTCATTAATATGAAACCATATGAACTATTTTACTCTTATCATTAGCTTTAAATTTTTTTTTTACTATAGATTTTATTTCATCAATTTCAAGATTATTTCTTGCTGCGATCGCTTGATTTTTTTTCTTTTTGTTTCTTTTATGAAATTGTCAAAGCAACATGTGAGCGTTCTTCTAGCTTGTTTATAAATTGTTCTTCAAACTCGCTTGATGGTTGCAACGATGTCGTTTGATTTATGGTCCGTGTACAACAAGTATTGTTAACAGCATCTATTGATTTTTGTACAAACATCAGCATTCTCCATGAGAAATGTTTTTTTTTGTTTCGTACAGTTTTAATGCTTATAATGATCGATGCATGTTTCACCTTTCAAAACAACCATCTAATCTACTTAAAGCTTTCGCTAAGTGTGCTCGTGATAGAATACTAATTATTATTCAAAAAGACGGAAAGAAGTAAGCGCTTGTGGATAGAGCAATGAATGTTCTTGCCTATACGTTGGGCCACACACTACCTCAGATTGTCATAATGTCACATACATACCCCATTCTACCGCTCATTGACACTCAAGAACGATAAGTTTATAGAAAGAATAAAATACGAAAAGTGCACGCATACTGTTCTTTTTCTTTTTTTTTTTCCCTATTCCATCGATTCTATGTGAAGTAAAAAAATGGGCGTTGGTAACCTTGAACAAATCAAACGTTGAAATTTATTCGTCTTTTTTCATTTTTACTTTTTTTTTGAAGCTGTTACTTTTCTTTCGAAACATATTTTACTGCACTCATATCCTTGTTAACATTCATTGCTCTTTTACATCAAATAAATCCCCCAAAAAAAAACGACGATTCTGATTACTTGTCATGTCTAGTATTATGCAATTCAATTATAAACAACATTGGCAAGAACGAGATATTATTCTAGAAAGGGTTTGTAAAATTTCATTCATGTGTTTATTCTAACCTTATTTTACTTCATTTATTCAAAGCCAACGAGCGGAGATACATCATTAGGATTTACTATTGCTGGTGGTATTGATAAACCTTTTCTTCATCCTACGTTTACATCTATTATTGTTATAAATATAAGCAAAAATAGTATCGCACATACAGATGAAGGATTAAAGTAAGCAATTTTATTCTCTGTCAACTTTTTGTTTTAATCAATAATCGATCAATTTAGATTATATGACATAATATTGCGTGTCAATAATATTGATTTTACAAATATTAAGCATCACGAAGCTATTAATGTCTTGAAAACATCAGGACCAACAGTACGCTTGGTGAGAACGAATAGATGAATGTATAAGATCTTTCATTAATATTTCTTTTCTTTTATCATCCTATTCAGCTGATACGTCGTCTCTCGCCATCGATTTGCGAAAATATTGAAATAGAACATAATGGAAAATTAGGCATATCCATTACAGGTGGAATTGGAAGCGAACATTTTCAAAAGTAAATACTAATGACATCTTTATTTGTCTTCACTTAAAATCTTTTACTGTTTCTCCATTGAAGCGATCATGGGATATTTATTACAAATATTAAAAAGCCTCAAGCTAATCAAAATTTACATAAAGGTGATCGATTATTAGAAATTTCATCAGAAGTAAGATAAATGATGTTCTATTAGTTTTATATGTCATATTGTCTTTCTAATACTTCTATTTATCAGCGTAACACTTACGATTTACGATTTGTTACGCATCAAATGGCAAAAAAATACATAAAGTCAGCATGTAAAGAAAGCAAAAAGATTAAATTGCATGTTGGACGTGCAAGACTTATCGACGGAATGTAAGTTGAAAAAGATTTATGTCACTTTGAATACTATGAAAATACAAGTTGTTAATCTCTTGTCTCTCTTTCAGACCAAACAAAAGAACTGTTTCACACGAAGATCAATCTGATTTACGTATCTCGACAAACGAAAGTACTTTATGTGTGTTGCTCACTTTATACATCTTTATTTTGATTTCTCATTTATTTCCTTTTCTTTTCAAATGATATTACTATATAAAGCCACAACATCGAACGGTTTTATTGTACCTGATACAGATCACCACAGCGAAATTGATTTTCATAATCACATTCACAATTCAGACGGAAACTCACGGAATGAATTAGTTGCAAGTGATAGCAATGAGCAAGAATCCATAGTGCCATCTAATGTCGATAGTAAATATACGAGAAACGATATTGAATAACTAGTTTCTTTATGATAATTTCAGATTTTGAGAGGTATCGAAATCGTGACAATCTCTCCGCAGATCACTTACTGAATGGTCGAAGTGCTGAACGTTCACAAGTATTTCCCGAAGTAAGACCAGAACAACCACATGTTAACAGGTAGGTCCAAAGTCGACTCTAAGAATATTCTCTTTCTAAAATAACATTGCTTTATCATTTGACTTATTCGTTGTAACGTAAAAGAATTCATTGTTGATATGTTTTTAGATCTACAACAACGGTGGAAGGCCTAAGACCTCATCATAAAACCAATGTTGACAGTGAACAATTAAACAACTCAGATAAACAGAGATACTCTGAAGTATGAATTATTTCGATTCTTGACATAGGGACTCAAGATGAAATTTTTAGTTTCATTTTTAAATACATACGTCTTATTTAAAGAAGTAACAATTTACACATTTGTTTTTCAGCTACACGACTCTCATCGGTTTACTACGGTTAATGAGAGATCTGCACAACAATTGACACTGAGTGAACCATTTGCGAGTAATTTGAATTCACACGAGTTGAGATTGCTATCCAATGTCGACGGTAAACATACGAGAAAGAAAATTTAACAAGTAGTTTTGTTGTAATAATTTAAGATTCTAAGAGATATTCAAGTCGTGATTATGTCTCCGGAAATCGCTTACTGAATGGTCGAAATGCTGAATGTTCACAAGTATTTCCCAAAGTAACACAAGAACAAGCAAATGTTAACAAGTAAGTCAAAAGTTGAGAAATAGAAATTCAATCTAAAAAGATTCTCTCTTTCTAATAATATTGCTTCATTAGTTGATTTGCTCGTTGTAGAGTAAATGAATCATTTGTTGATGTTTTTTTTTTTAGATCTACAACAGTAACGAAGTCGGTAGACATGATACCTCATCATGAAGTAAATATTAACGTTGAACAGTTCCATAATTTAGATAAACAGAGACAATTTGAAATACGGATCGTTTCGATTTTTGACTCAGAAGAGAAAATTTTCATTTTTTATTATATGTTTAATTACGTAGATCCATCTTATTCTTGAATTAATCGTTTGTACATTTGTTTTCAGCTACATGACTCTTCTCGAATTACTCCTATTGACGAGAGATATGTACAAAGATCGCAACGGAATGGAACTGTAATACGTAAGCAATAGAGCTTCTATTTTCTGTCTTCACTGACAAAATTAATTGGAGATTATGAAAACTTTAATTTATGTTGTTTTTTTTTCTTTTTTTGGCATATTTCCTTTCTAGGTGATGCTAATGCAGAAAAACTGAGACACCAAGAAATGAAAACTAATCAAAAAACACGTCTAGAACGAGGAGGAATAACAGCTGGTGAAGATGGGAGATTGAGAGTAAGCTAGATTTCTTCAGAAATGAAATTATAAGTAAACTATCATGTATTTGTTTACTATATCTAGTGGCAAATTTATTGAACTATTATATCAATCAAGTTGGTACAGTCTTGAAAACCTATAAACAACATGATTAATATGAACGAGGTGTAAACAATGAACTATATAAATCTGACTAACTTTTCTTGCTATAGATTTTGAAATTGTTAATAAACACGAATGGTTCTCTTTTACAATGTAAGACACATTTTAAATCCTCTTTTGAGGAACACATGTTCTTGAAGTCTGAGTGTGTCGATGTGGGTGTATAGAAGACGAATGCTAATTCCCTTTCACATCCACATTCTTACTCTGTATGCCACTTGATAAATTGCTCTATTCGAAGCTCTATCATTTCATAATCATGACTTCTTCTGCATCAATATTTTTCTGTTAAGATGTTTACATGAAATGGTAGAGTAAGTGAGTATTGTTCGTCGACTATGGTCATCTCATCTTCCTAGTTAGTTTTTCACAATGAGAAGTTCGATCGATTTTCATCAGTATGACTTTTTCGATTCAAAATAATGATTTCATCCATACAAAGCTGTTTCAAAGACCACAACACAGAAAGATCAAATGATATAGGTTACAAATAGCGAAGTTTGTTTTTAATATTATGGCAGAAGATGATATATCTGAATATTACTTCTAAAATTTGATTATATTATAGTAAATTCAATAATGACATCAGACAGACTGATTAGTAATAATACTGTTTAGTCTCATATTTTGTTCATACAAATCTTTTCTGTGAGTGACTTGTTTTTGTAATAATAATAATAATACAAGGTTTTTTTTTATTCTTTGTTTTGTGTAATGATTGAGTTATTCATTAGTCAAGAATATGATAGTTGTTTTAAATAAAAATAAATGTAATAGATTGTAAGATGACTGATAGTTTAACATGTGGTTTGCTTAAATCACAAATTGAACTGGTATCCTTTCTGTGACAGCTGTTCTAATAAAACAAACTCATCATTTATAAACTATTCACTTCACATTTATGATTCCTCAACTGTACATGTATGGATTGTTGTCTTATATGTATAGAAGTATTAGAGTATTGGTTTTTCTACTTAATTATTGATACTTTTATGACAAAGGCCATAATAGTTGATTTATTCTCTCTCCTTGTAATATGTAACACTTCTTCATGGAATACTCTTGTTATCCGAAATGTTGATAAAAGCAAAACCTTTCGCTCTAGTCTGTTTCAATCTAAACTTAAAACATGTCTTTATGTCTTTCTGCATGATATATGTGTTGCGATAAAATAGCAAAGTGCGCACACTGCAAAACTGCTATAGGGTGTAGGTGTGTGAGTGTGAAAGAAGGACTATATGCACACCCACCCACATCCTCGATCGAACCATCAATCCAAAGAGTCGGCGATTTAGGTTCATGAACTTCATGTAAGCGCACGCTCCGCTCATTGTCTCATACATACTGGTAGCCATCCGAGTGATGGTCCATTCTTGGCCAATATTGATTGAATGGTCTGTGAGAAGAATTACATTGGTGGCACTCAATTAAATCGTATGTTCGATCTAATTTTACAGAATAATTCTCTAATACTCAAAACTGAGTACCAAGAAAGTCTGAAGGTCACGCAAGAGAAATACGAGCTCAACAATTTGATGGCTATAAATGAGCGAATACAACGTGTGAAACAGATTACTATTATATAAAAAACAAATTACAGTACTGTTGCCTGAATAATCGAACAAAAATCTTTCAGATAAAAGGGCTAGGATTGAGAAGTTATTGCCGACAAATGGTTGCGATGACTGACTGCCCAACCCGACCGAGTTACTGGTATGTTGGGGCATATCTTAAGTTTCATAACTATGAATTGAATGCAAAGATGAATTAAATGAAATGACATGTTTTTCCTGTGTGCATGCGAAGCAAGTTTCTTTAATTTATCTCGATCGAATTGATTCCAATGAAACGGAAAGAGGTGTGATCTTTCGATCTGACACAGCAAAAGGGCAGCGCACCCATTGAAATTATCCGTCATCTACTATTTATTTGCAATAGTCATTTATTATTTCAGACGTTAAATTCGTTACCACATGTAAGTTGATCATTAGTTTTTCTGGATACTGTTCGAAAAGAAATAAAACATAGTGTCAAAAGAAAAGAAGTTTCTAACATTGAATAGACTATATTATTCATTAAAATGCTTTTGGATTGATCTAATTTGTCCATTTGTGCATCCAACCTTGCACTTGTTCGTACCAGGCAATGGAATTAAGTGGGTTCACTATCCAATGATTTTCGGTTGGAAAATAGACTAACCGACTTTCAATGCCACGACGTTGCAAAGCATTAAAAGCACTTATTCCTTGTGTATCTGGCACACGATAATCATGAGCACCAAGAATAATTAGCATTGGCTGGGTCCAATTCGCAACATGCTTAAGTGGATTATAGCGTTCATAAGCTGCAGGATTCTCCCATGGAGTGTACCCGCCTATATCATGTTCGGTAAACCACAGCTCTTCTGTGGAATAACCTTTGGCTCTTGTATCAAACACACCGTTATGAGAAATGAGCGTTTTGAAACGACGACTCATTTCTGGATGTCCAGCAATCCAATAGACCATATATCCACCATAGCTGGCACCCATTGCTACAGCTCGATTCGGATCAATATAAGGAAATTTTTTCAGTGCATAAGTAAGACCCAACTGAAGATCTTCGAAAGGTAATGAACCATATTGACCTATAATACTATCTGTAAAATTCTGACCATATGAGTCAGAACCATGAAAGTTGATAGCAATGACAGCGTAACCTTGAGAAGCATACGTTTGAAAATTCCATCGATAGCCCCATTCATCGTACCAACTATTTTGTGGACCACCATGAATGAGAAAAGCAAGTGGAGCTCGTTTGTCAGTTCCACTCGATGGTGGCATATGCCATCCCCAAACCTTATCACCCCGAGCACCTGAAAACGAAAACGTCTCAGCCATGGGACTCATTTTCACTTTAGCTAATAGAGCTTTGTTATGATCAGTGAGAGATCGCATTGATCCATCTGATGAATATAAATAGATATTGATTGGTTCAACAAAACTTTGATGAGTGAAAACAAACATTTGACTATTCATAGGATGAACATTGACATCATGCGATGTACCACTATTGATTAGACGAGTAAGTGATTGATTTGTGAATAGATTGGATAAATGATAGAGTACATTTCGTGCTTCTTCGCCAAGTTCAAGAAAAAGAGATTGACCATCAACAGACCATGTCACAGCTTGGATGCTTCGATCCCAATTATCAAGAAGTGTTTTCTTCGAATTCGATCCTACAAATGTGAAAGAGCACAAACAATATAAGCTTCGAACTATATAAAAATAACATGACTAACCATTGTAGAGCTGTATTTTGAATTGATCAGATTCATATCCTGGTTTTGATTGTGATCGATAAATCAATACATTATTATCTATTGGTGAATAAGATGGATCAGTATCAGCTGCCAAATTATCACATGTAATACATATACTTCGTTGTCCAGGTGTATTCAAATCTACTGTATAAATATCTAGATTAGTTGACCAAGCTACAGCACTTGTTTCATCATATTGTCGAGTGTATGCAAATGAATTACCATTTGCACTAAATGACCATTGTGTTTTGGCATCACCAAAAGGTCTTGTTGGTGAATCACTATCTATATTGAAAAGTACATCAATTGGTTCTGATGAAAATCTAAATATTCCATTTGATTGTCGTTCGATTGAAACAAGAAATGGATGATGACGTGGACCTGTCATATATTCATCCCAGTGTCGAATGAATAATTTGTCGAATTGATAAACTAAACGACCACTCTTTTTCTTTGTCGTTTGTCGAGCAAATGTTTCTTCAATCGTTAAATTTGGATAGACTTGACAGCTAAATGCAAGACGTGATGCTTGTCTATTTACTAGCAAGTTACCAATACTCAATGAATAATTTGTTATTTGAATTGGTTCCAGGAAACTAGTAGTCTCTTCTAATAAGTTGATAGGAAGTGTAAGTTGAAATATTTGAGTGAGATTTGATGAAACTCGATTGGATAAAAAGAGAATAGTAGTATTATCTATCCAAAACAACTAAAGACAAACAACACTTTGAATAAATATACATATGAATGAGTTCTAATCTTACTTGACTATCATGTTTTCCCCAAATGGGTCGTGTTAACTGAACATTTTTGTTTGTTTCTAAATCAAGCCAATGTAAAGTTGTTGTTGATCCACGTAAATCAGGCATATGATACTGTCGTCTTAAATAGATGACACTTTTTCCATTGATTGGATGAAATCGAGGAGATGAAAGACGATCCAAACGAAGATTGTCTGTTTGAGAAAAGTCATGAACATTTGTCAATGACTGATAGTAGTCACTATTTGACTGATAATCATCAGCATTTCGTTTTGTCACTGAAGATATCGTTTGATCATGATTATATTTGGAACGTTTGATGATAACTACAAGAGTAGGTATCAGTATGACGGCTGCACCTAATAGGAGTGCAATCGACCAAAAAACCTATAATATATAACAGTCAAAATAATAATAGAATAACGAGTGGCAGAAAGTTTAACCTTCTTGTGTTTGAATCCTTGTTGAAACATGAAAAATCTTCACAAAAAATAAAGAATCAAGCACAAATATCTTCTTTTTCTATTCTTTTTATATTGTATTGATGCACGTCATATAAGTATTAGTATTTCAAAAATGTTAATACGTTGATATTTGTATAGAAACTACGTTAAATAACAGTGTATTGTTTTACATTATCAAGGCTGTTGTGAACTGGAAGATAAGGTATGCATAAAAGACGCAAACATAAAAAACGATTATCTAAAATAGTTGAACATACGAGAATGATTTCCAATATTCATAACTTTTTTGCTTTCAACCTCTTAACTGCAAGATATATTAACGATCTTTTCAAATATCCCCCTTTTCTCATCAGATACACATGTGGAGTAAATTTGCTTATGAAATTAGTAGCATCCACATCGATTTACTCTTTTTTTTTTCCTGATGTAATGATTGTAACAATTTCTTCAGTAACATCTTTTCTTTTATATAGAAAATATGCATAATGATATAAATTGTTCATCCAAATTAGTACAATTTTGATACTTAATAACTTTATACATTGCAGTTTTGAATTCACTAGCCACCGACGTAGCATCAGTGGTCGAAAGCTGAACGAGTGTTACCATTTTGTGACTATTTTTTCTTCTATTCACCTTCCACAAACGGTGCATATTCATTTTTTTAAAACCAATTGTCTACTCTCTTTATATTTGGATTTGAACATTCTTACTAATGTCTGACAAGCTTTGAAGGTTAACTTTAAAGAATGCAAATGTGAACGAAAATTCCTTATCAATCCTGTTTTCTTTGTCTGTATTACAAACAAATATCGACACTAAAAGACAAATGCCCATTGTGGCTGTTGATGAAGTCTATTTGAACGTACGAATCAGCAGATCCCATCAGTTCTTTTTGATTCCATCATAGACGTGACAGACATTTTTGAATAGTATCTGTTACGTATATATGTACGTTCTGATGGTTTCCTTGTTTTCTTACATATCTCAGTAATCATTAATATTCTATTTCCGCAAAAGTTTAGCTATGCGATACGTTTCTGAGCAAACAGATCAACAACCGAACCGAATTAGATTTCTTTGGTTCGAATTCGATTAGAGTAGGCCTAGTTCCTTCTCATCAGGAATAGACAATGGGTGAGGACTTACTTCTCGGACAATTAGTGTTACAGTGGAGTTGATATTATTAGTGTAGCCTAATACTATTAGATATAGTTGTAAATTAAAATAAAGTTTTAAATATTACTGCTTAATTATCACAAGTTTTGTTTTCTTAATACATATTTCCAAACAGTTACAGAATACTATGGATCACAATACAGAGAAAAGGTGAAATTCAAAGAGAGAATGCCAAAATAATTATCTAGTATAAGTTTCATTATCTAAAATGACTAAGTAAAGATCTTTTTAACGTGTTGATTCACTGAGTCTGGTGACTTTTTTGTTTCATTTCCTTTCATTCTTTTGTGAATTTAACGACCAGTTTTTCCTTGACTATATTTAATGTTTGATCATAATTATGTGATATATTTATATAATTACACATCATTTTTCTGAAATGTGTATTATTTAATTTAGATTATACTAAGAAATATATAACTCGAAATATTGACTAACTAAACCATTGAGCACAACTTTAATGCATTGCTGTCTTAATTTATCAATTTGATCATAACTATCTGATGCACAGTATTTTCCTAATAAAATACATAGAATCGTTATTCAATCTTTTTTTTACTCGATGAATATAATTTGTAAATATTCAAAAGAGCTTTGACGTCTTATGAAAAATGTTTCATTTTTTCTTCAAAAAAACTTTTTCATTTTCAATATTTTATCAATTTGATTCGGTCCATCAAAATGAAACGATATGAACTATTTTATTTTTTGCATTCACTTTATATTTTCTACTATAGATTTTATTATTTCTTCAATTTCAAGATTATTTCTAACTGTGATCACTTAATTCTTCATTTTTTCTATCAAATTATCAAACTCACACGAAAACGTTCGCCTAGCTAGTTTCCAAACTCTCGTAACGTTTCCAATGATATCGTCAGACTTTCAATTCGTGCACGACGAGTATTGTTAACAGTATCTATTAATTTTGTACAAACATTGTGACTTTGCATGAGAAATGTTTTAATATTTACAGTGTTTATCACGATTCATGAATGATTCATCTTGCAAAAAAACTATCCCGTCCACTTAAAGCTTTCGCAAAAGATGCTGCTGTGAGCCTATGCGATTTTGGCGTTGTGTGTAAGTTAGCATGAGGTGAGACTCTGTGAAGAAGATCCTTCTCGATATCCGGCACACAACAACTTACATCTGTATTTGTTGTTAAAAAAAGTAATGGTAGGCAAGGTTTGGGCTCGTACCAGAATACAACTTCTTATCCAAAAAGACCGTTGCTTTGGTTATGACATTATTTCTTATAACAGAAAGAAAACGAACAACCATGGATGATTCAACAAAACTTAACAATTGTGTTGATATCCTCACAGGATAAAAACTCTTGTTGCTATTGATGCATATATGTAAAAGGAAGGTCTACTTTACAAGTTCTGACTCACACATCATCTTCAGATCTTCATACTCTCATTCACGTACTCCGTTCTTCTCCATACGCATACTATCAAGATCGATGAATTTATAGAACGAATAAAATGCGAAAAATCGACACACGCTGGATTTTTTCTTTTTTCTATTCCGTCGATTCTATGTCAAGCAAAGATAATTCTTTGTTATCTTAAGTAAATGAAATGTTAAAATTCATTTGTCTCTTTTCATTTTCACTTCTTTTGAAGCTGTTACTTCTCTTTCGAAACATATTTCACTGCACTCATATCCTTGTTAACATATATTGTTCTTTTACGTGAAATAAACCCAAAAAAAAGACGATTCTGTTCATTTATCATGTCTGATATTATACAATTCGATTACAGACAACATTGGCAAGAACGAGATATTATTCTTAAAAGAGTTTGTAACATTTCGCTCATGTATTTATTCTGATCTTACTTTGTTTCTTTTATTCAAAGCCAACGAGCGGGGATACATCATTAGGATTTACTATTGCTGGCGGTACTGATAAGCTTTTTCTTCGTCCTAATTTTACATCTATTATTGTTACAAATATAAGCAAAAATACTATCGCACATACAGATGAAGGATTAAAGTAAGCAATTTTACTCTCAGGCAACTTGTTTTTTTTAATCAATAATCGATCACTTTAGATTATATGACATAATATTGCGTGTGAATAATACTAATTTTACAAATATTATATCTCAAAGAGCTGATGATACATTGAGAAAAGCAGGACGGAAAATTAAATTGGTGAGGAGTATGAGATGAGTGTGTACGATGGTTCATTAATATTTATTTTCTTTTATCGCCCTATTCAGCAGATACGTCGTCTCACACCACCAATTAGCAAAGATATTGAACTAGAGCATAATGGAAAACTAGGCATATTTATCGCAGGTGGAATTGGACATGAATATTTTCGGGAGTAAATACTACTGATATCTTTATTTTTTTCTCACTTAAAAACTTTTACTGTTTTGTTATTAAAGCGATCATGGTATATTTATTACGGATATAGCTCAATATCAAACTAATAAACAATTATATAAGGGTGATCGATTATTACAAATTTCATCAGCAGTAAGATAGATGATGTTTTATTAGTTTTATGTGTCACATTGTCTTTCTAATACTTCTATTTATCAGTGTAACACTTACGATTTACGATTTGTTACGCATGAAATAGCCAAACAACACATACAGTTAGCATGTTCAGAAAGCAAAAAGATTATATTACGTGTTGGGCGTACAACACCAATTGTTGAAGCGTAAGTTGAAAAAAGATTTATGTTACTTTTGAGTCTATGACAACACAACGTGTTTACTTCTTGCCTCTTTCAGACAAAATCAAAAAATTGTTCCACACGAAGACCCATCTGATCGACGTACCTCGATAGACGAAGGTATTGTATGTGTGTTGCTCACCTTGTACATTCTCATTTTGATTTCTCATTCATATCTTTTTCTTTTGAAATAACACTCCTAAAGCTAAAATAACCAACTGTTTAGTTCTATCTCTTACAGACCACTACAGCAAAATTGATGCTCATAATTGTATTCGGAAGTCAAATGGAAACTCACGGGATGAAACAATTGCGATCAATAGCAATGAGCACGAGTCAACTATGCCATTCACAAACGATGGTAAATATATGACGAACAACATTGAACAACTAGTTTCTTTATGGTAATTTAAGATTCTAAGAGATATCAAAATTATGACAATATCCCCGAAAATCATTTGTTAAATGATCAAAGTGCTGAAGATTCAGAAGTACTTCCGAAACTAAGACAAGAACAACCACATGTTAGCAAGTATGTCTAACAGCAAGAAAAAGAAGTTTGCTCTAAGAATATTGTCTTTCTACAATAACACTGCTTAATCATCGCACTTGCTCGTTGCAAAATAAAAGAATCATTTGTTGATGTGTTTTTAGATCTACAACACCAACGGTGATGAAAGATTTGAAACCTGATCATGAAACGAGTATCGACAATGAACACTTCAACAAACTAGATAAAATGCGATATTCTGAAGTCTGAATTGTATCTATTGTTGACTCAAAATAACTCTTATGAAAATTGATTTCTACAATTAAAACCTAGAATAACTAGACAATCATTCTTTAAGTCACTGAAATCAAGAAACTTTTTTTTTTTCATTTTAATTTTTTTATTATATGTTTAACTATTTTGATCTTATTTTTGAAATAACACATTGCATATTTGTTTTTTTCGCTACATGATTCTTCTCGAAATAGTTTTATTGTCCGAAAATCTGCACATAAGGTGAAACTAAATGAGATAGTGATATGTAAGCTCTATTAATAATTTGTTTGCTCTCATCATTGACAAAATTACTTTGCGATTATGGAAACTTTAATTTATGTCGTTTTTCTTTTTTGACATATTGCCTTTCTAGATAATGTTAATTCAGAAAGATTAACATGTCATGAAAGTAAAACTAGTCAAAAAAACACGTCTAGAACCAGGAGGCATAACAGCTGATGAAGATAGGAAACTGTGAGTAAGTTAGATTCCTTCAGAAATGAAATTATAAGTAGACTATTATGTATTTGTTTACTATATCTAATGGAAAGTTTGAAAATTCTTAATTAATAAGACTCAGAAGGCTAAAATGTAAACAATGAATAGTGTAAACCTGACTAACTTTTCTTGCTATAGAGTTTGAAACCGTTAATAAACATGAACTTCTTTCATTTATGACGAAAGAAACATTTTAAAGTCTATTTTAAAGATCAAACGTTTTTGAAGTCTATGAAAATGAGTATTGGTGTGAGTATATAGAAGATTCTTATTAATTTTCTTCTGCATCGACATTTTAACTCTTTATGCCACCTGATAAGTCGTTCCATTCGTGGCTTCATCATCACATAATCATAACTTCTCCTGAATCGATATCTTCCAGTAAGTCGTTTATATGAGATGATCGTATGTGTATGTTTTGACTTTCGGCTATCATCATGTGGTCTTCCTGTTTACCTTTCAGCAATGAAAAAATCCATTGACTTGGATGTAAGTATACTAGAGCAAAAACGCACACTCTACATCCAGTTTTCATTCTCGGTTAGGTGCACTTCTTGTTAAATGAATGCTTTCTATTGTTGTTGAAAGTCAATCTAAAGATTCTAGAGAACTTTTATTATGTTTTTTTAGGACGACAAAACTATTGTTGAGGAATGTCATAAGTGTGAGAGGTTTCAAGACGAATTCATTTTTATATGGAATATCTACTTATGAATATACATAACTGAATTTAGTCAAACTTATTGATATGAAGTGGACAAAAATTTCCTTAATGACATTCATCTTCCATAAGTAAACTTCCACTATGTTCAAATAAGTTTACATCTATCCAAAACTGTTTTTGAACTAAGATTTGGCAAAAGTATATCTTTGTAAACACGCACATACTTTAGAAAAACTTTAGTCATCAAATTTTTCAAGATTTGCGCGCGTGAAAAAGAATTTGTATCTAACAATTTGAATAGTCCTCCTTATGTAATGCACTAATTGAAGTACGATTCGATATCAGTTCTGCTGATTTATTTACATAAAAAGTGTGTCGCACAAATCAGATATTTTTCCAATGAACTTTGTTCAAACTGTTTCTTTTCATCTGTATATCGTTTTTTTAGTATTTGAAGACACATAATCTATTTGAATTACTTGTGTGGTTGTTTGTCTTTCGTTTTATTTATTTGAGCAATAAAAATATTGGAATCAGCAATAATAAAAACATGATTTAGCAATAACTTTTGAGCAATAAAAAAAACTTTATTTGAGCAATTTTATAATATTAAATGAGCAATAAATAGTTTATTAGATAACAATATTAATTTCATAATTGAGCAACAGAAAGGAAAAAAACTACATTATTTTTATTTACAATTGACAAGAAACAAAAAGAAAAATGAAATACAGGATGGTCCACAAGTCACCCGACACTCTTGTATTGCGAATAACTTTTGATAGGAACATGTTATAGACCTGCGGTTTTCACCATTTGAAAGAGCGATGTTAGAACATCGATCCATATAATATTCACTAGGACGAAAGATGCTTTTACATAGGAGCTTTTCAATTGAAATTCTTTTTTTTTGTGCATTTTCAGAAATTTTCATATTAATCTTGCCTCAAATTACACCAAAATATAGCTCAAATCACCCATTTTTCGCTATAAAATTCTCAATATTTTCCAAAAGTGCATTTGAAAAAATAGGTCGACGGAATAAAGCATAAAATGATACTTTTATACCGAAAAATGGGTGATTTGAGCTATATTTAGGTGTAATTTGCGGCAAGATTAATGTGAAAATTTCTGAAAATGCACAAAAAAAAGAACTTCAATTGAAAAACTCCTATGTAAAAGCATCTTTCGTCCTAGTGAATATTATATGGATCGATGGTCTAAACATCGCTCCTTCAAAAGGTGAAAACCCCAGGTCTTTCCTATTAAAAGTTATTCGCAATACAAAAGTGTCGAGTGACTTATGGACCAGTCTGTACATTTTATGTTTTATTTAAATTAATTATTGCTCATTCCATCTAATTATTGCACATTCAGTATAAGTATCGCTCATTCAAAATATTTATTGGTAAATTTGATTATTGCTCAATTAAATATAAGTCTTTGTATACTATAAATCGATAATAATGTCTTTCTTGGTCTAACCTTCATTGATTTCAATATTATAAATAAAAATAAGTAAGTTTTCTGATTTTGTTTCACGAAGAGAACTTTCTAAAATTTTATCTTATCTTTCAAAACCTATGGGACAAATAGTCCGTGTCTTTCAATTACGCATTACTTCTTTATTTTTCTCCACTAAATGTTTCTTGATAATCTCACGTCTTTTCTTTTGTTTGCATAGTACCAAGAAGAGTGTATATACAGTATGATGTGTTTTTCTAATGTTAAAACATCGGTAACTTTATTTCAAAATATTTTTATCTTCGTTAGGCTCTTCAATATTCTCTATTTTCGTATGAAATTTCTGTAGGTCACTATAATTAAATATTTGAGATTATCTTATCTCGCCATTTTATCTTTGAATGGCACTACTTATGTAACAGTCCTTCTGAATGGAATGTTTGAATAACATGCGCATCACTATTTAAGGCAACAAATTCATCAATTGTAGATGAAATTATTTTCTCTGCCAAATGTTTTACTCAATAAACTTATTTGATTACATGCAGTTATAAGTTTTATTAGTACAAAATAACCGACTCTTTCAACATTTTTTCAATCTATTTTTTCTCATTAAAAAAAAAAACGAGTCGATACAGTACGTTAATTTTTTAGATTTTCTGATGAGTCTGATGTCGATTTCCTATTTTTTGGTTAATAACTAATAGAAAATATGTATCGTTACCGGTTTTATACACATTTTGTATTACTTGTTTTTCGTGATCACTTTGAATTTTCAAACTTTTATATGATGTATTGATCAAACAGGATTATTTTCTTTTGTATCTAAATTTGAATTTGAATCAATTCGAAAATCACAAGGATCTTTTGTTCACTATAAATACAAGAAAATAACATTGATATAACATAATTGTTCATAATTACCTTTGTATTTCAAGAATAAGTTTGATTAGGAGCAATATCAATTACATCATTTACTTTACATAATGTTTTCTGTATTGATGATACACCATTAATTGATAAAAATGCATCGCCTATTGTAAGATCAGATAATACTGTCTTACCTCTATTATGAACCTATTATATACATCGAAATTAAAATAAATGACAAGAGACTTGTTGATATTTTTATAAAACAAGAAAAATGTACCTTAGAAATATTAACAAGTGTGTAAATGCCGTCTGAAAGTTGAAAATTCCAGGGAGTACTACTTTGTAAAACAGCAGTTTTTTCGATCACCTAACATATTTTCTATACTATTCTCTGATTCAAACAAACAACAAAGGTTGTCATACGTTCATTGTTCGTTTTCAGATGAATGTGAACAATGTATGCTGTTCTGACAGTTGAAACGCGTTCTTCTATCAAATGACGCGAACAAATATGATAAATGTACCAGAAAACAAGAGAA